ACACATGGGGTTGATTCATTTTGGCTAACTCTCTTTTAGCAAGAAGAGTTAATCAATATTAAAAATTAATTATATGTATAATCTTTATTCTTTCTATATTTAAAAGTAAGAACCATAACCATCAATGTGACACCTTAAGATTCGGTTTTCTTTAATTTTGAATTGTGATTGAGTTTTGTCTATCCCATATTGATAGCTAGATAAAAGGTTGATACTGAATGATAGATAAAGGAATATTGATATGTCTCTGTGGCAATTTCATAGATTTGACTCCCTTGAATGATTCTCTAAACTCATGGTGCTTAACTTATTTGGCTGACCCTTCTAACATAGGATTTTTAGCTAATCCTCTTTCTTACAAAAACAAATCTGTATAAAAGTTAAATTAATTAATTAATTAAATTAATATAATGCTATAAGATATTGATGTGAGAAATTAGAATTTAATATTTTTAAATCATGAATTGTGGTTGAATTTGACTTGAATCTTAATCCATATTAATGAGAAAATAAATTATTGAAAACAGTTAAGTATATGAAACGAGAATAGATGCCTTGAAATATTGGAAGGGTTACAAATGCAATATGAAAAATTACTATTTTCAATTATGAAGTATAGGGATGTTGTTGTGGTTCACAATTTTTTGTATATTACTTGACATGTGTTATGATTACCGTGCAACGCACGGTGCCGAGCACTAGTAAAAATGAAAATAAGATTATAGGGATAAGATGTGTTTTCATGTGAATACTTTTTTTGGTTTAACAATGTGAAACCGGAGAGTCAAAAGTTATTTTTCAATAAGTACGAAAGTGATACTTTATCTGGCGGTGTCGGTTAAAGTTGATATAACGTGCAGAAGATGAAACCAAATTATAACATAGATCTCAATACGGAAAATAAAAGTTACATTCTATCTCCGAAAAAAATATCTATTAAACTAGAGGATGATGGATGTCAAATTAAACAGATGAAAATGTTTGTTTTCTGATATAATTTGTCTGACTTCAAAGTTTGATTTCAAATTAAATAATTGTTTTTGATAATTAATTTAATTTAGTGAGGGTTTATTGATTAAATAAATTACTGAAATTTATATATTTAATTAGATATATTCTTTTTAGTATTATCTATACTATATTATAAAGCATTTGACAAAAACTCTTAAAAACTATTTTTTATGCATGAAGTATTGTATATTGATGCATATTACTTAAAATTCAAGATTACAAATAAATTATGCATAAGTACAACTTATTAAAGTTTCATGTTTGAATTCATGTAACTAACTGCGGATAAACATAATTAAATGGAGAATACACATCTCATTTTAAAATATAAAAAATCTAAAATATAATTAGGATAATTATCGAGTTCTAACAGAATCATTATCTTTATAAATTTTTTATTGTTCCAAAAATAAATTACTTCACTATGTGACCTAAATTAAATTATAATAAAAAAATTATATAAAAAACAAGACTTTTAAATAGTTAATTTGGTATTGATATCGATATATTTAAAAAAAAATTATGATGTCTTCAAATTTATTTTCATTTAAAAGTAAAAACATTATTTTTCTTAAAAACTACATAAACCGTATTATATCAATAAAGACATGAAAATTAAACGAAACATTGAAATGAATATGTATCTCACTACATTGTGCGAGTACCTTCTAGTTTAACTATAAAAGGGGTAACACTAAATTATTAAGAGATTTCTAATTTATTTAATTGGGACATCAAGATGTCATGACGTTAATAATTTGCCGCAAATAAATTGGATTGGTTAATTATTAATTTTTAGTGAGCAACAAGAAATATAATTAAGGGTTGACCGAGGTTAATCGTTATTTGACTTTTAGGTTGACATTTGGAGAAAATATAGACGTTAATGGGTATATTATTGCGTCTATAATTGTAGGTTATTATTTGGAGAGAAGTTCTAGTGAATCAACACTATCATGTGAGTATTTCACGAGATTTCACTGGGATGTATACATACGTACAAACTATTTTTACATGTATGAGGTGTGGTATTATATGTATGTTTGTTAAGGTGTAAATTATACGTTATTTGTAATTGGTGAATTACATGCATATGGTTTTTAAATTTTGGTGCATGCATGCTAAATTATGTTACATTTATTATACATAAATCGCATGCATGTGGTTTGGGGTGTGGGTTAACATGGTGTGTTAACCAGAGTATGGGATATCGGCTCGACATGTCACATGTAGAGGAGGCACGACCTGAGATGGGCGGTTAGTTCTTTGTCCACTTACCCGAGTAGATCACGTTATCTTCACATTTCATTGTATTTATGTGGGAGGCAGGATACACTTCCCCCCTCCCCCACCTACCGGCCCTCTCGGTAGTTAGATTATTGCTTAACTAACTTCCGAACATTAGATTGTATGAATTTGGTATTTTAAATTATATAATTTTAATTTGTTACGTAGTTCTGGATTTTTATTTTATGGGTGGATTTTGTATAAGAGTACAAATATATAATTTTGATTTATTTTTTGAAAAATTACTAAAAGCAACGATAGATTAGCAACGAAAATCTATCGTTAAAAGTTTCTTGGACCCTTGCTAATCTAACTTTAAAAGTCCCTCGTTGATCCATCGCTAAGGGTTACATCATTGATACGTCACAAAAAGATTTCGTCGCTAAAAGCTCCATCATTAACCCTTCGTTAATAGCTTTCTCTCGCTAATCCGTTGCTGATAACTGAATGTCGTTAATCCGTCGCTAACCGTCACTGATCCGTTGCTAATGCCCGCCGTTGATTGCATTACCACGAACTATGAACGGCGAATTCTACCTTTAGTGACAGATTTTTTCGTTACTGATAGTCTTCAGTTTTGTAGTGATGAAATACGTTTAAAGGGTTTTTTAAGACAAAAAGAATAAATTTATAATTATTTGGACCATCCTAAAGCCCAATCAGATCAGGCCCAATACCTTTATCAGCCTAGGACCCATCCCCTACCGGAGTGTGCTCGAGGAGGTCGTCGGAGCCATTTTTCCAGCGACTTTGTCGATTTTCTGGCGATCTCCTTGTTTTGGGCCATGTGGCTTCGTTTTTCATCCGTTTTCGACGATTCTTTTTCCTAAATTTTAGGTTTTCGATTTCTCATCTTCTAGAAATAAGAATCACTCGAAAACATCGAGTTTTCAGGGAGATATTCCATTTCAAAGTTTCCGCTTTTACCGAAAACGATAATTTCAACATTTTGATCGTTTTAACAACCTTCCTGCTATCCAATCAGCTTCAAAATTTATCTTGGTTTAGGGATGGCAAAATAACCGAAACCGATGGTGAGAATCGAAACTTTCGAGTCGGGTTCAAGGACATCTTATCGAGGACGGGGCAGGGATCGGGGACAAATTCGAGGATTTTAACAGGGGCGGGGATGGTGATCATCGGCCCGGCTCGGCCCGATATGTACATATATATATATATATATTAATTTTAATTGATATATATATATATATATATAATACCATTAAAATTTAAAATACTTTTATCCACTTTACCTCGACAACCCAAATAAAGCTCACGAAAAAAGTTTAGTTTATTTGTCTAAAATTATTATTTTAGTTGTATGATGTTTGAATATCTATTTAGTTTTATATTGTAACTAGTGTTTGACATCGTGCGTTACACGATGACGATAAAACTTTTAAAAGTTTATTGAAGTTAGCTAAATGAGTCGATGATCACATTTATATATTAAACTAATAAGAATCAATATTACCTTTGATATATGAAACTAACTTATCATTATTGGTTGTTTTTTTAATATATATATATATATATATAATTAATAAGTCTTATATATCAATCTTTTATTATATCAAACTTTGTAATTGGTTCAGAATCATAAAAAAAATATGTGAAAATATTGATTATAATCATGAGATGTATTAAGAGAATTATTTTATCATAATACATATCAATTTATCTTCTACATATATTCTCATAAAATACTTATATTCATCAAGCAAACATTGTGTTGTTACTTATATTGATATAATTGTTAAATATTTTTGCAATTTGCTTATATTAGTTCATGTTATACTCATTTGCAACATTGGTCAAAAACCTCATTGAAACCTTTTTTTTCCCTACATGGGATTGCATAAAGTGACAATAATAGCCAATATTATGACCATTCGAAATATATAAAAGTCTGATTGATTTGTTATTTTTTAATTTGACTTGTTTAAGTTTTTTAGATTTGTTTTAGACAGTTCATAGTTTGAAAAAACTTGAATACATTGATTCCAGTGTTAATTATATGTAGAGTTTGATTTTAACTTAAAAAAAAAATTGATTTAAATATATATATATATATATATATATATATATAGATGTTGGTTATTATACAACCCTGGTCATTTGTGCAACCAATACAACTCAATCTCAACCGTCCATTTCATTTGATTAATATGTGATTTTATAGAGATTTTGATTATTTCCTAATATAAAGTATTAATCATAATTAATGAACCGTATTCATCTTCCATAAATATTTAAATCATAATAAATGAACTCTAATCATTTCCATAAATATTTCAATTTATTGGGTTGCATTGGTTGTACAAATGCGATAGGTTGTATTTGAAATAAACCCTATATCTATACTACATATATAAGCATTTAAGACAGTCTTAAATACAACTTTTTAAACACAAGTTACAATCATTTTATGCATGATTTTCAAAAAACTCTTAAAGACAAGTTACAAAGCACAATGTACAAGTGTTTTATGCATTGAGTTTAACCTTGTTTTTCTCTCTTCCTTTTCCGGTGACAATCTCTTCCGCCAAAAATGGGTAAGGTCAAAATGAGCTTTTTTCTGTTCTTATTCCTTTTCCAGCTTCCTCCTCTTTTCTAGCTTCCTCCTCTGTTCCTCTTCCTTTTCATGATTCCTCCTCTGCGCCTTCTTCCCAATTAGTAAGGTCAGCCCTTTGCTTTCTTCAATTGYTGCAACCTTTGCAGAAATGGCCGGCTCCCAAGACAATCTCATATGTGCATATAACCAGAAGTTTGAGGCTTTGATTTCTCCACAGGTTCTTCAAAACCCTAGCAATTTCTATGAGGTATTGATTTGGTTTACATGTTCTTCAAAACTCAGGTTCTAGAAACAGGMATCTAATGAGAACTCCAGAGGCTCACAATACTGCATCAAGCGACCGATTTTGTGGAGGTTTCAAGCGATTCAAGCACGATACATTTCTGTGGAGGTTTCAAGCGACCGATTTCTGTGAAGGTTTTCAAAGGTCAGTTAAGCTAGGGTTTAATAATTTAATTTTTTAGCTCTGATTCTAATTGTTTATGGAAACAGCGGCGTATTAGGCGGGAAAAATGCGCGGATTCACATTCCTGATGAGCTAGATGATGTGGTGGACGACGAGGAGGACGAGGCGTGGAAGGAATGGGGACAGAAGAAGAAATTGACGGAGGAGAAGTTTGATCCGCCGCCTGTTGAAGTGTGATTTTTAATCTTAAGTGATTGAACTTAGATGACACTTTCTCTAATAACTTGGCAAGGGGGAACGAAGTCCTCATGTTGTTTAACRTGTATTTATTTAAGTTTCTACTTAAAAATGTAGTTTTCATGTCCATTTGATTTACTCCCTTTTGTTGTCATCATGCATGACTGTTACTACCTGCACAACCAAACAGCCTCACAGTTCATACCTGCTGTCATCATGCATGACTGTTACTTCATATGATTTGATACATATACATTAACAGCCCCCTGTTACTGTCTTATACATTAACAGCCCCCTGTTACTGTCTTATACATTAACAGCCTCCAAGTGTTCTTTTTAAATTTTATTTTTTGTATCCCCTGTACCTGTTAGGTTGGTGCTAATCTGTGCATGGCTTAGAGCATAGAAATGTCTAAAACTTCTTCAAGAGTATATAAATACATGAAAATGTCTAAAACTTCTTCAAGAGCATATAAATACATGAAATGTCTAAAACTTCTTCAAGAGCATATAAATACATTGTTACGGCCTGTACCTGCTGTTCTAAATCAAAGCAGCAACCTACAGCCCCCCCAAGCATGTAAACAGGTTGCATCCTCTTATACATACACACACACAACTTGTTCTTTTTTCTCACTGTTTTGATGTTTTGTTCTTCAAATAGAAACACCCCCCCCCCGGCATGACAATCATCCATGAGGATTTATATGTGTGTTTAGATATAGCAGTATAAGAGCTAACTGTCACCTAGAACCTGCTCTAAATCTGCTCTAACACAGAAATCTTCTTGAATATGTATAAGAGCTAACTGTCACCTAGAATCAAACAGTTAAGTCTTGTGTGTGTATGTATTGTTTTAATGTGTGTATGTGTGTTTTGATGTGTGTATGTTTGTTTTGTTCTTCAAATAGAAACAGCCCCCCCAGCATGACAATCAGTCTGCACTCAGTCTCTGCACTCAGTCTAAAACTTCTTTAAGCCATGCTCTGCACTCAGTCTCTACGCAATGTGATGCTCTATCAGCAAGTTTTGAAATTAATCGAGGTTTCTGGAAYTAAGAATTTTTGTGTGTGTGTTTGATTTGAGTGTCTGTTATCATTAAAGCACTGATATTTAGCATTAGTGAAAGGCTAAGCATCCATATGCTCTAAATCTGCCCTAACTATCACTTATATTAGAATTCCTGAGGCCGTTACCTTGCGTGCTTCTTGGTTTGCCAAGTGTACTTTTTAAAATTTTATTTTTTTTGTATCCCCTGTACCTGTTAGGTTGGTGCTAATCTGTGCATGACTTAGAGCATAGAAATGTCTGCTAATCTGTGCATCCTCCTATACATACACACACAACTTGTTCTTTTTTCTCACTGTTTTGACATGCCTGCTTCAGAAAGCATCTTTTCATGTATTATCTGCTTCCATCGAACCATCATCATCTAGGAGTCGTTCTCCTTGGAGTTKCTTGAATTGGGTACTACAAAATAGTCAAAGCAAAGTTTCATTAATATTSTCATTATTGAAGGGTTTCAATCAACTTGTCTTATATTTCAATTAGTAGAGAATCTTGAATTTGGATGGGCACATAGATGTTTTACCTGCATGGCATACRGTGAGCTTTGTGCCATGAACCTAACAAACTCTTGCTTCTTAACTTTGAAATTGTACTTGACATGTGCAAAGAATGCTTCTTCCCTCTGCAGATCTTCCGTTGTTGTTTCCTTTTTCTGCTTCAACTTCTTCATCTGCTTTTCAGTTTCAACCAAGTTCTCTGGTGGGTAAGATCTTACTGCAAATATAACAATCTCTTCCCTAAATTAGATCAATGAAACATATAATTCAACAGTAAAATATCATTATAAGCAACATTGAAGTTTGGATAACAACACACTTTTTAATGATTTCAGTAACCTATGTAGGTGAAACAAAGCAGAACTTCAAAAGTTTGTGCGTATGTGTGTTTTGTTCTTCAAATAGAAACAGCCCCCCCCCCCCAACTTTTTAATGATTTCAGTAACCTATGTTGGTTTTTGGATTATTTTTTTTGCTGCTGCCAGTAGTCTGTATTATTATGATTTGGGAGCTCTTTTTACATGGACTTTTTGCCAAAACARCAATCTGTGTGTGTATATGTATTTGTACTATTGTGGTGGACATAATACCAATGCTTTTTGCAATCTCWTTTTGTTAAAGATCAAAAGGCTGCTATGATGTTACCTGGCATGATTAAAAGCGTAACTAATGTTACTTGGCTGCTACTAATCACTCTTTTATGTCTAAAATAACCGATTTTAGAAGGTTGAGTTACTGATTATGGCTKTAGAAGTATATTTTTCCAAAATGAATTTTTGATATGTTAAAGCTCTCTGATCAGCCAGTGGTTTCAGTGTGCATCCATTTCTTCTGTATATGCTTTCTCTACTTGATTCACTAGAGATACAAGTTGTTTGCATGATTCGAAGATATCATAATATACGCATAATATACGAAGGTGTTAGTGAAGCCTGTTAAAAAAATCAATCRTGCCGGARTGTACACYTCAAAYGTCGTCTATCAAGAARTTTTACGTGATGAATAAGGTATAATTATTTTACGGATGGACATTATTTTACAAAYGATTGTATTTCTTTGTTCATTCAAAAGTTCAAGTTTTGTAATGAGATTTGAGTAGATGGTTTCAGAAACCCTACATATGTGCAATTTTCTTTTCATTCGATTTTATACATTAGTTGACTTGTAAAATAACCACATAAACTCATAATTCAAAGCCAAACTAATATTTTCGAATTGTGATTTACCCGCGCTGCATCGCGCGGGTACACCACTAGTATATATATATATATATATATATATAAACTATAATCTGTCTCTATCTTTTATACATATTAATATATTGATTGTAATAAATTTTTAGTTCTATATTGATTCTAATTTTAATTTTATATATTGATTATCATAATTTTCTATTTTACGTATTATAATATATTATATACTAATTTAATGATTATTTTATATATATGTATATATATATGTATATATATATACATATATATACGAGTTGTGTGTCTACGCAATGCGACGGGATGTCAAATTTTATTATGAATAGAGAAATTGACACCTCAAACATACTCGGTGTATCTCACTCAAAATAAGATCCAAGTGGATAAGATGTACACATACATTCATATACTCCTACGACGTAAGGGATACACGCACCTAATGTGGGACTTAACTTCAGGCCATTTACCCAAACGCTTATCTGATAGCTGTTTACCGGTAAGATTCGTCACTCAAACTTACTTTTGCAGGTTATAAAAGTTTGTCAAATTCATTCAAATTGAAATTTAGAACTCTTAAGATGTTAGTCTACTTTTGCAACTGCAACCATTTGTAAAAAAACAAATTGTTTGTGAATACTTGTAAAAACAAACACATTTGTTTACCAAGCGCTTATCGGGTAAACGTTTATCGACATAAAACATCACAAATTGTTATATCCTTAAAATCAATGAATTGATAATTGACCACCTTAAAAAACATGTTTGGCATTGTTTTAATAGATATCAATTCGTTAAGGAGGACAAAATACTATGAAACTCAGCATCACCAATTTCTACAGAGTGTACAGGCTCATGGAAGAATCTCGTTTCTAATAAGTCAAATATGCATGAATTAAAACAATATATACTACAACCAACCTATTAAAGCTAAGCATTTCATAGCAATGAAATCCACAATTGAACAAAAAGACATCATAGGATAGAGACAAAAACACATAGCCCCCAACCTCCAATCCAACTATGGTACAACAAAACAAGTCTGACCACAACTATCTAAATCTGATTCCCTAACATTTAAATCCAACAAACAACATAATGCACCACAAGCACCATATCTGATCGGAAACTGCACAGACAAATGATTCACCCAGCCAACAACCATCTTACAACTCCATGGCTTAAAAAAAAGAATTCAAATGGCTTAAAAAAAAAGAATTCAAATTGCTCCCCAAGTAGAATCAAGTAGAATCTGACCAGGAACAAACCATAAATGAGTTTGGGAACTAATAAAAAGCAAAACTAACTACATTTTTAACAGTAAGGGGCCGTTTATGTAAAGACCCAAATTTTTTTCTTTTTAATATAATAAACGTCCATGTATAAATAAGTCATAAAGTCTAAATAGTTCAACGCAACGGAAGTATTTTTTTTAAACTAATAAAACTTAAAAGGAACATATGTCTAATGATATCCATATCAAATCCCAGATAGTCTTCACGCCAAACCTTTATTCCGCAATAGCCGGTTCTAAACTCTCTTTTCCCTTGCTATTATTCTCTTGTATGAGACGACCTGGTTGCATAATTGTTTTTGAAAGGAGTTGGGTGAGCCAAGGGCCTAGTGACTTAACGGTTTTAATGCATACACCACGTAAAAAATAGATTTCACAAAACGTCATAATTTATCATGCATACAGTTTAAACAACACACTTCACAAAGCTAGTGGCATTATGAGAGATGACTACCTCACACAACATTACCTAACGAACTCAAACAGCATTACCTGGCGAACTCAAACAACATGTCCGCACTTACGGCTTAGACAAGCTCACAAAGCATGCTTGTCTTTATGGAATCATACCGTAGTACAGCCCACATTGCCACACATGTTTTATAAAATAAGGCACGATTTATGCATACATGATATTCAAATATATCGAGAAAAATTTCAGCAAGCTTGCATATAATTGTAAATAAAATGTGCAACCATTTTTAGGAAAGTCACGTATAACTCACCGTAGTAGTTATTGTCTCAAGCGCTCTTTTAAGTGGTTAGAGTCTCCCTACAGATCAAAGACCATAATGTTGATTGTAACATACGACTTTCCTTAGAGATGATCGACTAGTACTTTTGACACATTTTATTTATTTATTTATTTTTATTTTTATAACCCATGCTTAGCTATTTGTTTACAATTTGATTTATGTATATATATACATATATATAGGTATATAGCATCCAACAGTAGTTTCTTTTATTATTATTATATATATGCATGACGGTGCATGCATGAAATG